TGCCTTTTCACAGCACGCGCTCCTGTGCCTTTTGTGTATTCTTGCAGAAAACTGTGAGGAGAGCTGGAAATAATGCTTCTGATATTACCCTAAACAAATAATGGGCTAAAGCCTTTCTTGAGATGGAGGTCTAGCAGACGGAGAGCGGGTTGGGGAGCTACAGAGCCAGAACGAGCGAGCAGCCCTCCATTGTGACTGAACTGCAAAATGGGATTTGCATAAATAAGGCTGAAACATCAGCAGGCCCTTTTACAGCCAGCAGCAGGGCTGAGATGAGCGAAGAGCGATGGGGTGTGCACTCGCACTTGTGTCCCTTTCCCCATTTAAAAGCGGTAGCCCCCGCTTGGCAGCAGGGCCAGGGCTCCTTTCTTCTCGAGGCTCTGTCACCTTACCAGTGGAGCACACAGGTAGATCCCACACGGATATAAATTACTCCTCTTCCCCTCAGAGGAATTTGGGTGACGTAGCACTGAAGACTCTGCTCTGAGCAGACAGCGTACGCTGACTGTTACATAAGCATGAAAGGAATTGCTTCCTTTTTGTGCCACCCGCATTAGAAGACCCATATCTAATTGAGCTATTTTCTGCCCTCTTTTATGTGGAACTTCATATTGGAAGCAAAACGCTAACTTTTAGTGTCTCACTGCCCGCCCCCCCCTCTTTTGGCTTTTAGTGCATGCTGTTGGTGGCAACCCTAATGTGTGTGTGAGCCAGTTCTTTGTGACAGCCGTGTCAGCAAGCTCTCCCATTAGCGTCTCATTGGGGGAAAGTTGAAGAGGGAACGGGTGATTGACAGTTTGTGCTTTGTGTGTCTTAGTAAATGCACATGCCTCACATCGCGCATATTTGTGTATGATTGCAATAATTTAGGCTTAGATGACTCCTCTGGATGGTACGCTCTAAGAATTATGCCTTAATTATGCCAAAAAATAAAGTGTTTTTTTTTAAATTCTTTTGTTATCCAAACCCCAGACTAAATATTATCTGATGTATTAGAATATTGCAAACCACACACAGATCAGCTTAAAAAGAAAAGGCAGCTTAAGTCAAGATGAACATCAGGCTACTGTGCCAAAGACTTCTCTGATGGCCTCCAAAGCTTTGTTATGAAGGAGAGGAGGATGGAACAGACCATATTTGTAAGTTTCCGGGAAGGAAAATCACAACCTGTTTCAGCAGCTGTAAGCAGGTTGTGTGGATCTGTTAAAGTAAACATTGCTCCTAAACTGGTTCAGTGACATTGAGTCAGGGCTGCACGATAGTGATGTCATTCAGCCCAAAATAAAAAGGTCTGATAGACAGGGCAGTTTAACACAGAGAAAAGGTAACAAGTACAGTTATTTTGAAAGCAGTGGTTTAGCGTAGGTTGTTCCATAGCACATCACTGCTAATGAAACCCTCTCTGTTTCCTGACGGATGACCCTTATGTTGCTGCTTTTCTCCGGAAAATCTGTTTTTGAGACCACGCAGGACCATAGGAGAGAAGTTTAGGGTTTTTGTCAGACTTGGAATGCATAGCGGAATCTCTGTATTCTCTCTAACCGGTATGGAGAATCAGCAGAGACACACCCACTCTGATTAGGGATCTGTGAGTGGGAGTGGAGAGACCGGCGTACAGGAAGAGGAGGGCTTTAGAATAAAAGGCCAGGGCCCGAGCAGAAGGGTGTTTGCTTCTCTCCTCTGTCCCGAGATCACATTGGATCTAGCTGGAGAATCAGTTACCTTAGAAATAAAGCAAATGAAGCGACTCCCCCCCTCAGCATGCCTGACAAGAACATGCTATCTTTTATACAATCTCCTTTTTTGTTTTGTGCTACACTGCTGATTTCCTCCATTATTCAGGCTAGTGTTTACATCTTTATGTACAAAAAACATTTTCCACAAGCTTACCAGTGATCCAGCAGCAGGAAATCAGATGTCTTTGTTGGAAATTCAGCAGATGTTACCTTGGATTTTGGTCCTCTTATCAGTATTCATTTTTTAGCACTGCTGTCTTCTGTTCACATGATAGTGTCACATGGACACCTAAAAATATTGAATCTGGACCCCAGAAGAAAAAAATAATATCCACTTTCATGATTTTTGAAGAAATGTCCTTGGCTGTGGTGATGTTTTAAATGGCTGAACATTCATTCTTGTCCCTTTGCTGGTCTCTTTCATCTGGCTGCACATTCGTTTTGTGTACTTTTTGACAAAATAAGTTACACCCAGATAATGTGTAGTTCAGTCAGAGAAACCACTCACTTTTGCTTAATTTATGAGTTGGAAGGCCTGTTATTTAACCACACAAACTGAATGATGGTTCAGAGCAGCAGATCAAATGCTGAAATATGATACTATACAACATAAGATTGCCAGATCTTATCCCATTTGCATGTATTATTTTTCCTTCTGTGGTTAAGAAAATCAAACATTTCTGCGTTCTGTTATTACACGTGATTTGGGTCAGAGTGGGTGTCCGACTGGTCTTCTCCAATCTGTTAAGTAGGCCGTTGCTCCACTTTTATGAGCAAGAAAGTCAGTGGGAATACCAAACTTTCTCTTTTTTTCTTGTCACTGTCCTCCCTTATTGCATTAGTCTGACCAAGCGCGCTCTTAAATTCCTGTAAACATGGTACCTGGGCTGAAATCATATAAAACAAGGCTTCACAAAACTGGATTAACACGCACAGATAAGGTGGTCGGGTTTAAATCCCTCAGGCGTTTATGTGCTTAACAAGATTCAAACTGGTCTGGGCTCTCTGTAAACACTGGATGGTGAAGTGGAGGCATGTTAATACAGCCTGATTTCCAATAAAGCTGCTGCTATTTTAATATTTTAAAGTTTCTTTTGGCAGATGGCTAAATGTGTTAATTATGACTAAGAACCAGTCAAGTCATAAGACTGCGTGTCAGCTCGTGAGTTATAGCAAACGCAAGCGAGAGGTGGCAGAAAGCGGTGAGTCTGTAGCGTTACGACAGCGGAAACCCTTCAATAACTCAATTCTCCTCTCATGCATGGATGTTAGGAATGGATGTTAAGAATAGTGGTCCGAGTTGCGGTTCAATTTAATTAAGTTTAACTGAACCTTCATTACTGCAAACTAAATTGAGTAGAAGCTCTTTGGTGGCACTTTAAAGTATGTTAGGCATCCTTTAGCCCACACCAGGATTACTGGTGTACAGTTCATTGTAAGAAAGCTAATTTTAAAGCTGAATAGAAACGCTGTTTGACTCAAAAACCTGAGTTTACGCACACCTTTTGTGTCCAACAATGAGGCCAGAAGTCGAGTGAAGAGCCTCCCCTCCCCTGTCACACAGCGTTTTAAAGGTTAGCCTAATCAGTGTAATTTGGATACTCAAGCCTCTTCAGCTCCCGCGGAGAGGACGGCTTCTGTTTGTGTGCAGCAGCGATCGGCGGCCGCGGCCGTCTCCCGTGGACCAGAGACAGGCGAGCGCTTTGCTGCAGAAGCAGGAGTTGGTGTGTTTGGCTGCCCCCTCTCAAACACTCCACCTCCCTCTCCCCAGGGGAACTCTGGAGCCAGTTACAATGTGGAGTGTTTTGGAAGAGCTCCTAAATATTTTCAGGATGACAATGTAATCTGACTGACTGGCCCGCTCTCCTGAACAGGATACTAGCACAGTCCTCTTTCTACATATAGCGAGCTGCTTTGGATCCCAGCACCCACGCCTTTTCTCCACACGACAACATCCTTATGGTGCTGACTGACTGATATTTGATTTTTGTAGGCCATTCGCTCTACTGACATTTCACAGATTAACATGTCTGCATTGTGTGGGAGAAACGAGATAGATCATCTTTTAAAGTGGGCCTAACCAACTTTCAGGCCCCACAGCGATTCAGAGACAGGGGCTGAAATAACCCCTGTTAGTACCACACCTGAATCGGCAGGCACCTTTTTTTTTAGAAGCACAAAGTCCAGTAAAATCTCGTTCGACTGAGGCTTTCTTTTTTTTTTTTGAGCTGTCGGCAAAATGACCAAGCTGCTCATGTTAAATGAAATTCTTAGACAGCTGCTGCTCTACTAGGCAAAAAGTGAGTGCTTGTGCAAGCTAGGCTTTTTCTGCTGACATATTCCACTGAATGTGGTGTAAGCAAGGAGAAAAGGCACTTTGTCAATGGTGGAGACGAGCATCAGGTGAAACCAGTGTTTGATTTCATGCTGGTTTTTGAAAAATATCAACATGAATTAAAAAGCCTGCATGTCATGCAGCCCTAACAGGAAGAGCTCCTTCTGATCCAGTAACGTCAAAGGAATGAATGAACTATTGGCTTATAGAACTCTGACCTAGGATGTTTCCATAGATATACATTCCCTGTAAATGCCCTTTATCAGTTATGTCCTCCGTCTTGCATGTTACAGACACGCTATTACATAGTCTGATAATTCTAGTCTGATAAACGGATTTTCCGAAGTCTGCTGGAACTGGAACAGACTCGAGCTGCTGGACCTTTGAAAACAAGCTTTGTGGAATAAAAAAAACGTATACAGTCCACATCAGGTGACTCCAATATTCAGTTCGGGCTTCAGGTTCACAAACCAGAAATGCTGTTTTACGTAGCGGCTTTTAATTGAACGTAGTTGAAATCTGACTATCGCTGTACTTTTTAACGTGGCCTCTGGCCCACTCGTCACTGTCGGAGACATTTGAGCCATGTTGATTGGAGGTGATGTTACTGGAGAGCCTCAAAGTGAGAACATTTATGCTACATGACTTTGCACAGCAGAGGCTTAGTTGGGATAACGGAGGTGGTTCGATAACAATAGGTCAGGTCCGCTTAAGTGGCCTGTAATTAAATTTATCGGTAGGAAAAAGACGAGTGTTAGAATTACTTAAATGAAACAGGCTCCCGTGATCTTGACTCGAAGCTGCACTGGAAAACTAGCCTCCTCACAGCCCTCCTATCAGCATTGCATTATAGGACTGATACTAGTGTTTTATTATGTTCAGACTGTGAACCCAGTTTTTTAACCGTCTTTTTTTCTGTCTTTCTCAACAGTGTGCCCAAGGGCCGTTGAAAGCCCCCTTGGGGGAATTTCATAAATACACAAAGAACAAGGAAAGCCTCCTGGACGATTGTTTTTGTTTTTACACACGCTCTCTCTCTCTCACACACACACACACACACACACACACACATACACAAACACACACACACACGCACGCACGCGCACAAACACCCACTGACAAGGACATAGAGAGAATGTTGGAGGTCCAAGAGGAGAGGCCAGCGGCGGCAGGTACAGCAGCGACACATTTCACCAAGAAAGAGCGAGGGAAGAAGGACAGAGACGAGGCCAAGGACAGTCGGGGGAATCTCTCCAACATTGGAAACCCTGTTTCTGGCTCCAGGAACGTGCGCAATAAAACGTCGCTCACACACACAGGAAGCCCCCACCAGCTCATCACTCCACCCTGTTCTGTAGTCCTGGGAGCCCCATCAATGCACTCCAATAGGCTAAAGAACTCCCCGTCCACCAACACACAGAGGTGAGTGGACTTCACAACCTGTGGGTCAGAGTTGTCATGGTGCTGATAAATGAGCACTGGTTTGTGGTGTGTTTTTGTCCCATTTTTACAGCGGGAACCTTTTTTGTGAACTTTTAAGAGAAATGAGGACTAAATGGAAACGGTTTGCATTCTAATCCTTTCAGATGAACTGGGACATTCAGGACAGAGTTTCTGCTTTGGATGTTTCTGATAGGTCACCCAGAGTTTTATTTCCTCCCTCGCAGGCTTGGTCTCCGTCCTCATTTGAGCTGCTTGGTTGGTCCAGAGTAAAGAGAGAGTGCAACTATATTGAGATTTAGAGTAGTTGTATTTCTTTTTTCCCTGTTAACTTTCTGCAAAAGTGGGTTGATCATACATTGTAAATTGGGGTTTAAATGTAATTCGACAAGCATCCCTAGTGTTCACCGCAAAAGTTTACCTGTTGAGTTATATCAGAGCAGCCTCTGAGAAAGGCAAAACAAGTTTTACCTGTGGTGTGCATGAACTAGGTGCAAAACCAATGTTGTGTAAATATGAAATTAGCGGCCATCTTAATAATTCTGAATGATCCTAATTTGCGATCGCCAGCTGTTCTTGGGTCAGAGAGTACACTGGGTTTGGATTTTGTCCCTGCTGACTCATGGTTCTGGAGTCTCTGGAAACAGCAGTTTGAACTGCCAAAATTCTGGTTGTGCCTTTTTTTCTTCTTCTTCTTGTTGTGTGACTGTGTGCACACATATACAGTGTGTGAGGCTGCGGCTGTACTTTTTGGACATGTTGGCATTCGCTTCACGCTGCTTGTACAAGTGTTCGTGTGCGTATGAAAATGAGAGAAAGGGATGAGGGTGTGGTGAGGGAGTTTTCTGCCAGTTGGATGCGTCCTGCTTGCCTGAACTGCTCTCATAACTAGTAAGCAGCAGTCATTTGTAGATGGCCTGTGTGTCTGCAGTCTGTTCCAGGTCTAACTGAGTTAGTAACCAGTTCGACGTTCATAAACATTTACGTCAACTACTGGATTTCATGGCAACATTGTGTTTAGTGGGTGCAGGGGGATGTTGGACCTCATGGTTAACCAGATGTCTAGTTATGTAGCCCTTTATGTGAGCTGGTTAATGCCCAACTGCTGAGTATGATTACTGGATGAGTCAACATAAAATCAAGTGTGTTTAGTTTTATTTGCTCCATCCACCCTTCACTCTGTGCATTTCTCAACTAGAAATGTGATGATAAGATATTCAGGTCTTTACATTGCAACTCAAGCGGGTTTAAATTAAACTGCATCTTTCCCTCGTCTTTCAGCCCTAAACCTAAGACGGAGGCCATGGTACGATCACCTCCTGTCATGTCCCCCTCCACTGCCGCCCAGATGGACTCTAAAATGCCCAATCAGGGTAAACCAGGGAGCACAGGCAGCCAGTCACAGGCTTCTCCCTGTGACCCCAAAACCCTGAGTGCCAAAGGGTCTCAAAACGTTTCAGGGGGAATGGGGCTGAAGAACGGACAGGGTCTGACATCAGGAGCAAGCTCGAAGGTGAAAGTCAAAAGGGAGAGAAGTAACTCTGTGGAGTCATTTGAGCAGCCAGATAGTGGCACACCCACCAGTGAGGAAAAAGGTAAGACCCACCACTGGAATTTTTCCTTTTTGCTTCAGTCCACCTAAAATCATTTCTTATTTCGGGAAGATTGTCAGCATGAAATTTGCCTTTATTCTGTCTTTGAATGGAAGATTATATTTGTATTGTTTGCAAAACACTGCAACGTGCTTTTATTCAGGGCATTGCAGTTCTAAAATTCAGGGAAACAGAGCTGCGGAGTAAGATTCACTGAAACAAGAGGCCCAGACATCTTGAAAAATGTACCTTTAGGCTTCTTCCCGTCTCTCACACTGATAAACGCAAGTCCACTGATGGCTCTGTGTGTGTCTGTGCAGATAGTAGCAGGGTGAAGAGGATGTGTGTGGCGGAGAGGAGGCAGCCATACAGTGGAGCTGACTGGTGCTCTGGGGGAGAAAGCGATGAAGATGACAAAGGATTCTTCAGTAAGTGTGTTAACATGCACATCCAAGCATCCATGGTTATTCCTTTGCTGATCACCTAAACTCAGCGACAGCTTAACAGTAAAATGATATTCCCGATCAGCCTTTTCTGCTCTTCAATCCACGGTATTTCCATTTTCTTTCCTTAGACTGTAACTCCAGTGATGTGAAGCCCCAGGACTCTGTCACACATTCTACCTCCAATGCTGGACTCAGTCGTTCCTCCACACCCTCCCACAATATGCTCGGAGGTCAGGGCTCCACAACAGAACCCGCCAGTGGCCAGAAACCAGGATCAAAACTTGTTTATGTCTTCACAACAGAAATGGCGAACAAGTAAGGGATCAGCTGTGAGATCAGACACTGATTCTCATTTTGGATTGGCTTATATAATTTACTGTGTAAAATCTTCTTAACAGAAATTCATTCTGAATGATCATAAGGTTATTAAATTGCCATATGAACACAGGTATACACTGAGATCCATTCACTCTCAGGGGAGCTGAAGATTAAGGATGTGTGTTCATGTTTGTTTTGTTCGTTGACCTTGAAATTCCAGTTATGTTCCAATCTAGTATTCATTAATTCATTAAAATGCCTCTCAAACACACAGTAATGTGTCTGATAACTGATATCTGACTATTTTATTGTTCTCAGGGCAGCTGATGCAGTTCTAACTGGCCACACAGAAAACATTATCACCTTCCACATGAAAAATATCTCCAACAGCAAGGATAAAGCTCATCTCTTGGTAAAGATGAACATGCTCTTGATACATTTTTTTATCCAAAGAAAATTATTAGAATCTAAAGTTTTTTTTTTACTAAACTGCTTCTTCTCTTTCAAAGAACAACACAACGGGCATCCTACGAAATGACTCCAAGCCTCCACAGCAGCCTCCATCCCATGCTCAAGATCAAAGTCACCAGCCTGGATCGAAGCCGTCCTTACCTGGAATGGCAGAGCCAGCACAATCCCAGCCTTCAAATCAAGGGAGCCAATCTGGTGTTATTCCACAGGAAGGGCCATCCTCAACCGGCATGGAACCCAAAAATATTCCAGGCAATAGCCCCAGCAACACTACTGCCCCAGTTGACCAGGCGTCCGTCAACCAGTCTGAGCCAGGCCTAAACCCTCCCACATCGGTTGAAGGAGGGCAAGGTGGCGGCTCTAGTGGAGCAGGCCTCACACCCCAGCAGCAGCAGCAACAGCAGCAGCTCGCACAGGAGCTGCTGAACATGGAGGCCAACACAGAGGGTCTGTCCCAAGAACAGTTGGAGCATCGCCAGCGCTCCCTGCAGACCTTGCGGGATATTCAGCGCATGCTCTTCCCTGACGACCGCGATGCCCCTCCACCTGGACCTCCACAGCCCCATGGGGGACCCCACGATGGGGGCCCAGAGGGTGCACCCCGGCGGTCAGAGCAGGGCCCCCTCCAGGCAATGATGGCACAATCGCAGAGCCTCGGACCACCAGGTGGACCTGGAGGACCACGTCCACAAGGTCCACCCTTTGGACCGCCACATGGTCCGAGGGACATGCCCCCCTTTCCACAGGATGAAATGGGGCCACACATGGGAGGTCCAGGCAGCTGTGGTGAAGGAGATCAGATGACCCCAGAACAGGTGGCATGGTTGAAGTTACAACAGGAGTTTTATGAAGAGAAGAGGAAAAAACAAGAAATGCAACACCGACCACTTCCTCCAGACATGATGATGCACCCCCATGGCCCACGGGGCATGATGCGAGGGCCCCCGCCTCCGTACCAAATGGGCCCAGGAGAAATGTGGGGGGGGCCAGGTGGTCCGGAGCACTACCCGCCGGAGCGAATGGGCATGGGCCCAGGCCCCAGGGGTATGCCTCCACATATGCAGAGGATGCCTGGTTTCTCCGGTATGATGAATCCTGAGATGGAGGGTCCACCGAGACCAGGAATGGGCTGGCCTGATGATATGCCTCCCCGTATGGGTGAAGCGCGGGGTTTCCCTGGAGGGCCTGGAGGAATGTTTGCTGGTCCAGGTGCTCGTGGTGAACGTTTCCCAAACCCTCAGTCAGTCCAAGAAGCAATGTTCCATCAAGGAATGGGTGGAGAGAAGGGTCTCCCCCCTGGGATGATGATGGATGTGCAAAGGATGATGGGACACCAAAGAGGGGGGATGGAACCCGGTAATGGCATGGGTATGTTTCCCAGAATGCCAGGTGATGGTCCAATGAGTCCGTCCTCAAGACTCCAAGGAATGGGGGGTCGGGAAATGGGGCCTGAGTTTGGTATGGGGCCTGGCCCAGGGCCAGGACCTCATATGCACCCTTCTAAATTAAGAGATGCCCCAATGAATATGAGTCCTGAAGAAATTATGAGAATGAGGGGTGGCGGAGGACCTCCAATGGAGAATATGGGCCCACAAGGAAGGCCTATGCAGGTTCCACCCTTCCCTGAGCAGGCACCATCAGGAGACTTTCCAATTGGGCCTGGGCGGCCCTTCCCAGGGGGACCTGGAGGAATGAGGGGTCCGCATGCAGACCAGGCATTTGGTCCAGAGCATAGATCCACTCCAACAGGAGGAAACGGGCGGATGAACCACCTTCCATCTGCTGGTGGTCCCCCACAAGGTCAAAGGGGCCGTAAGCCAGCAGACCTGAATGTCCAAGCAGGAGGGGGGAACTCCCCCAGTGTCAACCCTCTAAAGTCCCCTCCACTGAGGCAAGTGCAGTCTCCCATGATGGGTTCTCCCTCCGGAAACCTGAAATCTCCTCAAACACCGTCCCAGCTGGCTGGCATGCTCACCGGTCCTACAGGCTCCAATGCTCCTCCAGCTCCTCCATCTTCTGCACCAATGAAGTCTCCCCACTCCATGATGGGATCAGCAGGGGCTTCCCCTGTTCACTTGAGGTCACCCTCACTTCCCAATCCCTCTCCAGGTTGGGCTTCTTCACCAAAACCACCCATGCAGAGTCCTGGAGTGCCCCCTCAGGGTGGCAAGCCTCCACTCAGCATAACTTCACCAAACATGATGGGAGGCATGGAGCAGGGTATGTATATCTTCCATTTTGATGGTCAACATTGGGCTCTGCTTTCTCTTAATGCTTTCATCCTCCTTATTTCACTGCACATCTTTGTTAAAATGTTTATACTTGATTTGTGAGTTTTTATCCATATTCCAGTAATTAAATATCACCTAAAAAGGTTTCACTCCGACCATCGGACTTCTTATCACTCTAAAACCGAAACACGGCAAATAATTCAATATAAACTGTGATGTGGTGCATCTCCCATTCAGCACATCTGTGTGTGGGGTGGGGTGGGGTTGGTTATGGTCCAGTGGCTCCCTCTTGTGGCCATATAATGAGCTGAAGCAGATCATACAGTTGAAGACAAAAGTGTGGACACACCTACAGTTTCAAAAATATTTTGTCGGTGTTATGGCTTGTATGATTATTCACATACTTATATAAAGTGTACAAGATGGAACATCATTTTACAACATGGAGCAAGAGCAATTTTTTAACATCAAATGATTCTCTCCTGTAGGTGGGAACGGTCCTCCCACAGCACCTCCTTCATCAGGGGCTCCATCCGGCTCCATGTCCCTCCCCGGGAATGTCCCGTCTGGCAGCCCCTACACCATACCTCCAGAACCAACATTATCCCAGAACCCTCTCTCCATCATGATGTCACGCATGTCCAAGTTCGCAATGCCCAGCTCCACCCCGCTTTACCACGATGCCATAAAGACCGTTGCCAGCTCGGATGATGACTCGCCTCCGGCTCGCTCCCCCAACCTGCCTTCAGTGAACAATAATGGTAAGACATCTGAAACGTCTGTTTTGTCACTAAACAAGTCTGTATTTGTTTATATTTTTAACGTTGTTTTTTCAAATGTTTTACCAGGTATGCCTATGAATCACCAAGGAAATCCACGCATGATGGGTCCTGGCAACCCCGGATCCATGCCTGCGCTCAGCCCTCTGGGAATGAACCCGGTGGGTTCCCAGCCTCTCTCCCACGGCATGCCGCCACAGATGCCCTCTCCCAATGCCCCGAATATGGGCCCAGGCATGATGTCTCATGGCATGATGATGCCGCCAAATCCCCAAGACCCTGGTATGGTCAACCCTCAAATGATGGCCCAGGGACGCATGGGCTACCCTCACCGAGGCCAGGGATACCCCCTGACCCAGTCCCCTTCCCAGCAAGGCCCTTTCTCCCCACACAATGGCCCTGGCCCCCAGGGTTTCCCTGGTCATCCTATGGGCTTTCAAGGTGAGGGGGGACCTATGGGAGGGCGGATGGGGAGCATGCCTCACGGGGCAGGGGGTGACGGTGGCATGTGCAAGCCCAACACCCCCGGCGGGCCAGAGTTTAACAACATGCAAGGTGGATTCAGCGACGCAGACCTTCATGAGGTGATGCGACCAGGAGCTTCTGGCATTCCTGAATTTGACCTGTCCAGGATAATTCCATCAGAGAAGCCCAGCCAGACTCTGTCATATTTCCCCCGAGGTGGAGGAGACAACCCTGGGGGGAAACCCCCGCACCCCTCCGGCTTCCCCATGCAGGGCATGATAGGAGATGGCCCACCACGGATGGGGATACCCATGCAAGGGATGGGAGGGATGTCGGGTGGGCCCGGTGGGGGAATGGGCCCCCAAGACATGCCGATGGGTAACCCTGGCCACAATGCCATGCGGCCACCAGGATTCATGGGCCAAGGTATGATGGGACCTCAGCACCGGATGATGTCTCCAGGGGGTCCGGGAGGGATGATGCAGGGGAGACAAATGGCTCATCCAGGCCCCGGGGGCTCGCCCAACATGATGATGTCACTGCAGGGCCTTGGTGGCCCCCCACAGCAGACAATGATGATGGGGGGCCAGATGAGGCCACGTGACATGGACATGGGATTTAGTCCAGGCCCTGGAATGTTCTAATCCAACAGAGACCTTGTAACTAGAATGTTCTTGGACAATACGCGAGGATGGAATAAAGATACTGGAGCGCAGCGAGTATTCAGAAAACTGGTGGACTCAAGTAAATGAGGTATAAAATGAGGATGTGCCCAGAAAAGGAACTTGCTGAGGCCAACCTATCACCCAGTAATGTCTTGTGGGAGTTATTCCAATGGAGACTCTGACAGGCCCAGATTGGAGTTTGCCCCATGAACATTTAATTTTGACTCATGAACTGCAGAATGTATGGGATTGTTGTGTATCAATTTCGCAGAACTGTTCATGTGTTTTTTTGATTATCTGACTATAAAGATGACTTCGACATCAAAGAGAAATCAACCTAACTAAAAGTCAGCGTGGAGATGCTACAGTATATGTCTACTTTTTTCAAATTAAAAAAAAGAAAAAAACAAATTTGTCACATAAGTGGTATGGAATAAGAGAAAGGAGGAACAACTTTTGCTTTGTGAAGACTTTAGTGGAAATCCATCATGTCTCACTCCATTGTTTTGACTGTTTCTGTACAGTATATACGTGAGAGTGTGTTTGTGTGCTTGGCAGATTGTATGTCAGTGTGGTATGTATGTATGTGTGTGTGTATGTGTCTGTATGTATAGGCATTCTATCAGTGACCTCTCAACTCCTCTCACCCAACTTTCATGGGGGAGGAATGCCCCCTAAAATACTGTACTGTTTACCATTGGTGGGCTATTCAAATTTTAGTCTATTTTAATTTCCTTTGTAACTCCAGTGTATAACAAACCAAACTATGACCTCATTAAGATAATAGTATTATTAAAAAAAAGCACAAACATGGACCATCTGCAGAAGGCGTCTTCTTTCTCTATTTTTACCATTTAGAGCAACACACTCATTGTGAGGGTCCTGGCAGCTTCGCAGCACCATGATCTGCTCCAGTCCATTTCAACTTGGGGATGATATTTGATTTTGTGCTCCAAACCTTTCAGGATTCGACTTTTGCCAGCGTGAAAAAATATTGCTAATACCCAGATGTGCTATGTGTGTTCTTCTTGTTCCTGTTGTGTTCCTGTTTTGTTTTTGACTCTTGTTGACTCTGGGTAATAATCATTCCCACAGCAATAATCCCCCCCGATGGTCAGCAGAGTGGGACAGGAGCTGGCTGAATGCCAGAGCAGGTTTGCCAGGTGTTGTAGAATTAGAGTTAGGTAGATCTGGTAACATTTAGCAAGGCAGGTGTGGTATCCTGAGTGAGAGACACAAAAATGTAAACACGTACTGCTTACCATCCAGTTGACTTCCTCTCTTTTCTCTATTGTATAAGCTTGTCATGTGTTTCTCCATTGGCTTTGGTGCAGAAAAGCCTACCAGGGCTGTGGTGATGGACTACAAATAAAAGATATTGTTTTGGTATATAAATGTTGTCTATGGAGTGTGTGTGTGTGTGCGCGCATGTGCAAGAATGGGCGTGCGTCTGTTTTTGGTCATGTGGGTCTCGATTATTGACTTTTAGTCATTCATGTGGACTCGGTGCAGTCTTTGTCTCCATATGTTAAACCAGCTCAACAATGAGCTCCACTGAGGGGAGCTGGTGGCATTGAGCAGCAGTAGTGCTGATAAGCCGGGGCTTTATCTGCAGCCACTCGGTGACAACTATTTTCAGAGAGCATCACACTTCCAAAATAGATGGAAGCTTCTTGATGCATTTGAACACCACTGAGCTTGTTGTGCTTTTTCCAAGACCAGTCTTTTTGGCTCTCGTCTTCGTGGGATGTGCACCAAAAGAAAAACACAACATTGATGGAACCGTGTATTTATGTCTCACATATCCTTACCTCATCTTTCCATTTTGATCAACAAGAATCTCCCATGGACGAGGTACAAAGTGTGTTCCTGTTCTTTCTGTACAAGTTCTGAAGAAATCTACCTACTAATTCTCAATCCACTTTCTGTGCACCTTTAATGATAAACATCAGAGGCACCACATGAAATGCTCGAGGATTCCCCCAGAGGAATGAAATGACTGAGCTTTGGTTGCGAGTTCAACCACTTTGGCAGTGTGAGTGCATCGACAGACACAAAAGACACGTTTTAAAGACGCCCCTGTGCCTGTCCAAGATTTCCCCACAGCACAGACTCACCCAGTAAAGTCACTGATAGTCAGTAAACTAGTTGTCAACAGCAACATTATTCCCACTATTCATCTCTGCTAAAAAGCAAAATCTCCAAAAAGAATAAAAACATACTATTTGACAGGGTGACACCTTCCTCCATAAGACTGACTATGATTTTATTTAAACACTCACACACAGTATTCATGGTTTTGTTGCAATAAATATTCAATATATTTAGTCAAATAAAATCAACCAATCTGTAATAAGTGATCAAACCTGTGTTCAATTTTATAAAGTCAAATTCCGTCCACTGCAAAAACCTCGACACTGACAAACGTGAGTTCTGCTGAGGTTAATAATGATTTTTTTTGGATGGAGTGAGATGATTGCCGTTTGGAAATGTGGGCAGAGCTGCGCATGTGTGAGTGCTCAGGACTCGGTCAAGCCTTCTTTGCTGTTACAAAGTGAATGGTAGCTTTCAGAGCTCAGCGCGTATGCCGAGAGGACCTTTTTGAACTCCTGCAGGGGGCAGTAGACTCCGCTACAGCCCGGGATCAGTTGATCCTGCAGAAAGAGAGAAATTAAAGAAGATTGCAAAGCTATTGTTTGTTTGGAAACAGCCAAATAGAGGCATCCTCTCACCTTCCCGATGTATGACACCTTCACAAAGGCCTCGCGGGTCTGTCGGTTCTGGTGAAGCTCCAGAGTGATGTCAGCGGCATATGGTGGCCACTTCATATCAAAAATCCCCAGTGTCATGAGACAGGGTATCAGGGTGGTGTCATGCGCTGAGTAAAGGAACAGTTTCCTGTGTGAAAGAGGATTTCAAGAGTAAACCTCCTGGAGGCTGATTCAAATGTAAATGTGTGAAAGGAGTGGGGGTTATGCGCTGTCTTGACCTGTTTGGCTCTGAGGAGACGCCCTGCAGTTTCTCTTCAATGTTGTTTATCAGTGTCTGCAGGAGGGGTCCCACGCAGAGCTGCAACTTATCCCTGCCGCAGAGGAAATGAGGCTGAACTGTCCATCGCTACGCAAAAGCGACAGAACATCGAGCCCAGCCTTTTCAAAGCCGCCTCTGCAGGTGAGTGCGTCTTATCTTACCTCTTGCTCGGATCAAAGACGTGGCACATCATGTCCACAGCTCTCTGTTCCACCGTGCTCCTCCAGGAGTCCAGCGCCGGTGGGGAGGGAAGGCCGTGCGTCTGTTGATGAACAGAAACATGTCAGATCAAGTGTCAGGCTACACACACCTCACATGGAGACTTCTGACATGATAACAGTTTCAGTCGTTTTTTCCTCCTAGATCCTCATACCATGATGTCTGACCAGTTTCTTCTTTGACTGTAAAACACCATATGTGGTGAACACATTTGCTTTCCAGCACTAGACCAGAAAGCAGATTCCAAACCTTGACTCAAACTGGATGCTGTTAAAACACACACTCCGTGTGCCCACTTTGCTAAAAACCAGCTTGGCAACTAGAGATCAACATTTCCTGCCTCTGCTAGCAGCGCCTCTTTATTATTAATCATTTTCAAGCTGATATAAAGAGAAATATTCCCATATAAATTGATATTTTTTTTCCCATTTAAAAGACACACTGGTCATAACTGGCCACAGACTTAAGGATATTTTCCTATACAGCATTATGCATCTATAGGGCATTTCAGGGACACTTACAGAAAAAGTAACAATAAAAAGATAATTTTAAAACAACTTATGTATGATAAAGTGTACAAAATATTAACATTTCTATGCAGTGTGTTTGTGCAGACTGTAAAGGCTTAGGGGTAAAAACAGAAATGGATGATTGTGGCAGGAAGATCAGGAAAAATAGACTCTGGAATTGAGACTTGAATCCGATCATTGGGAAGCGCAACAGTGAAAAAACAAATAACATCTAAACTTGTTTTCGTAAAACTGAACCTGCAGCCTGGGATACGTCTATCTAATGACTTCATATATTCTGATAACTTGTGCTGGAAAAACAAAAAACACATGGATCACAGTCACCTCTCTGGCAACCATGTCATCCCTAATGAGGATGAAGTCGACATGCTGGTGAGCAGCGATCCCCAGTGCGCTCTGGATGCTCTGCAGGTCTGCAGCAATGTCTGGCAGAGTAGACGACTCTGCCCAGCGGTGGCTGCAAAGACCACACACAGTGTCAGCCTCACAACACAGATACACCCTGACAACCTGTCAAAGGCATCTCAACTCTGCTTAGAATTTCACACAGCGCACTATTCTGGATTCCAGTTTGTGGTCGCCGGGGCCCAGGATGGCCTAGGAGTGACGTGACTGTGCTTGGGAGGAAAACACATTTGACATACCTGCCAAGGATTTTGAGAAGCTTGCATCCGTGATAGTTAGGGTACAGAATTTCAGATTCTGCCTCCGTTGTTAAGATTGACACCATCTCTTTGAGAAGAGGAGAAAATAGCAAAAAGAAAAAAAAATCACCAAAAAGGGGGGGGGGGGGGGACAGGTGAGGTGAAATGAGGAATAGGTGAATCAACACCATCCGCATACAGATTTCTGCCTTACCTTTCTGCTTCTGCTGGAAGAGGCCTGCTACCAGGCACTTGGCGGATTCAATGGTCCTCACAATGTTAGTGGAGCGCACACTGAAAAAGGGGGAGGGGGAAACGGGTCATGGAAGGCGGCCAGATTTCCAGTGGTTACACATTTACTCATAAACCCAATTTACAGGATGCGCAGCACTTACTAGACCTCATCAGGGGCATAAGTGGCGCTAAGGAAGGCACTCTCCTCTATGTATCTTCTCCTCAACCTCGTGCCCAGCTCATACAGCTGCTGCATGCCCAGTGTGGTTAGCTGACCTGGAAACGTGCCTCCCTGCCAAGAATAACACACAGAAACCAAGTCACACACACACACACAAATGGGGCCAGCAGACACACACCTGCGATTACATTCAGGAATCCCAGCTGAATGTGTAGATGGCCCCGGTCCATGCTGGGGGATTTAGTTTTGTTAGCCAAATGCACTGGATTTAAATCTCCTTAGCTTGGCAGGTGGCTTGTCAAAGGAAAGTGACATTTTCATGGCTGGCAAGAAGGACATTACATCACCCGGAAGCTCTGACTACAGTTCGGTCATATTACAGAGGTAAATGATCCAGTTTAATATGTAATGACTTTATCTGGCCACCAGAGGGAGAAATAGCACTTACTTTGCAGCATCAAACATCACAAACATAATCTTATTCTTTTTTTTAAATACATTTTTGCATGTAGTCATAACTTTTCTTCTCATAACATTTTTCACAAAGAAGCAGCTGGACAGGTCTGTCCCTGTGCCTGTAGTTTGTTGCCCTGGCCAGTAATCGCTGGCCATTCAGCAACATAAAGGGCACCTACTTACAGTCAGAATGTTCTTTCGATAGCTTTCCTCTACAGGGGACGGTGGCCTCGGTCCACCCTGAAGGTCCTTCACCACATAGTTGATGTGCGTATGAGGCGGAGGCTCCAAGAGCGACGGGACCCACTGGGCCTTAAACGAGACAAATGAGTAACATAAAATTAGAAATGGGGCACGAGGACACCATCTCATCTTTAAAGAAGGTATTACCTCTATCACATCGGGTATGGTCTTCAGTGGCGTCCGAGCGCCGTGCCGGAACAAGACCTGGACCAGTTTGAGCTCATAGGAGGAACTGGGTGGGTTTGAATCCGCAGGGTCACCGTCTGAGGTGACCACGTCCGACTCTGTCTTCTGCTGTGACCACAGTATGGAGCCAAAAGCTGCAGACACCGACCCCAACAGGCCTGCTTTGCCCAAAAGCTTCCTCATGGCAGAGCTGGAAACAAAAAGCAAATCCATAACTGTTGCAGGTGCAGAAGATTCAGATAGGAGCCGGAATCCCAAACCTGCCTGGGAAGGACTTATGTTGGAAAGTTTTCTGATTTTCAGACAACTTGATAAATGCACATTTGTTGTATTGCTTTTTACTTGGAACAAGACAAATAGCTAAAAGACTCATAGGATGCTAATTTTGTCCTGAAAACTCCACAAATTAAAACAGTTAATGAGATTTAAATGAGTAAAACCCACACAACAGCCCAAAATCAATAGTTTGATTAAAAAACAGAATTTAATTATATTTCCTTATAAAATTAAATTATTCACTAAATTTACAGGAATAGCTACCAATACGTTTAGAAGTAATTATATTTTTAGGTTTAAACAAACCCATATATTTTATAAATCGTTGCTAAACTATTAGTAATTTATCATCTAACTATCTAGCTTTGTTCATTGAGTTCATTGAGCTGTATCTGACTACCCTGTTACAAACTAAAAAGTCTACGAATATTTACAATACTGAAAATATCAAAGGAGTAAAATGGTAAAAAGCTCTCAAACCTAAAGCTTCCGCTTTATTTTCAGGTCTGGCGGCTAACGTGGCTCCTCCAGTCCACTGATGATGAAGCAGATGGTGCCCTAAAGTCTGGGTGAAGTATCCATTTCACCGTTATTATGTTCACTGACCCACCCTGTACCACACTTTGAAAGAATATCCTCAAACTTTTAAGATGTTTGACGTCAGAGGATGTCTGGATGTAGCTGTCACAGAGGCAGCGACCTCTCTGAAGGACGGAACGTTTCCTCATTAAACATTTACACAACCCGATTGCACCATAAACCTCTCAAACAATGCAAGATTGTCACTATTCACACTCCGTCCAACCAGAACTGACCCACTGACAGTGTTTCAATGCAAACTCGACCTGAGGTATTTTACGTAACCTGAGCACACAGGTACGTTAACTCTTTCTAAACTGCTGTGTCGCAACACAAAGAGACGACAGGAAGTCTGTCTCTGCTGTAAAACCAGCTATCACGCAAAAATGAAGACCGAGGTCGTTTCAATTGCTGCTACTTACTTCTTTCAACCGGGAGATAATTAAAGAGGGTGCCTTCGAACCCAGCTTCACTTGTCAGTCGACAACTCTTGACACCGGCAAGCTTGGACATGTTGTTGGGAACTGTAGGCCACAGAACACTGTTACACTGCAACAGCCAAGGAGACATCGTTATCTAAAATACTACATTTCCCTTTATTCACGTCACAATGCCGGCGCCTTTCTTTTTCGTTTACATTTTGTGCCGGTGGCTCTGCATCATAATATACGTCGCCCTCTACAGGACATAAGTGTAACTGTACACACATTTGAGAAGCCGGTGACCGAAGAATCCATTTTTTGTAACATCACTAAGGAAACCGACCATATTTATTTATTATTTCAAGAAAAACATTGATTTTATGAAACGAATAAATTAATCAACAACAACCTGTATTCTGTTTATTTAACATAATGAAGAATTTAAGTGAAAATGGCAATTCAAAATTAAGCATTGTAATGTTGAACGACTAGAATCAGCCATTGAAACGCTGTAAAACATGTATATTGTTTTTTTATTATAGTTTTTTATTTTTATTTTCTATGACATGTGCAATAAAACTTTGTGATTTAGCTAACATAAAAATCTTGAAACGACATTAAAAACATCTACAAGTTCCAGTTTTACTGCTTGAAAAGGATCTGGTTGGATGTGGGTGCTCAGTCTGCTGGCAAAAACATGAGACAGTATTTGTCTGTGTAAATATTGCTAATCTTCTCCAATCTGGCATTCCAAATGTGCTGACAGCAGACAGTTCATCACTGGTAGTTTTATGTATTTTTCTTGAATTATTGCGTGCATTATGAAAATAGCTAACCGAGTTAATGGTTGAAACATCAGATATAATGTGTGTGTATGTATATATAATATATATGTATAGGTTATACAGGTTATATCTGTATAACCTGTATATCTGCACAGGCCATATCTGTGCAGGTTATATAGATATAACATGTAGGCGGACATGGAATCACAAATAAAAACGATATTGCTTGGTAGATGATTTATTGGTTTGCAGTAGATAAGTGACTACATTTATTGCATGGAGGTTTGTGTGAATGAACCAAAACCTGCACTGAATGGCTAGCTGAGCAAAAATCCTGTTTGCTAAGGATAATTATTATGAATCTTCTATCTTCTACATGAAATGGTAATTCGAAAAAACAATTATTCTCAATATAGGAAGAACTATACATAAATACATTCAAAGAATGAACTTAAACACAGAATGTATACGAACATTGATCTACAGCATGGCTCCAGTAGAATAAAAGGAAAACACAAGTGCAATGTCGCCACCATGTGGCTGAAGTTAGTCATTACAGCGTCCGAGGGGGACCCTTTCGTTAGTCTTTGCATTCTCTTCAAATTAGCAAAACACGCTTCAGCATTCTCACACCACATCTGGAAACACAGGCTCCTGTCAAATACACGACTAAGGGATCAACATTGATTATGCACAGTTGTATTTTTTGGTTAAATCATACATTTTTTAAAAGTATAGTGCAACCAGGTTAGCAGATCACAAAATGAAAAAGGAGACATCTTGAACAGTATGTAATGAGGAATTAAGTAATTTCACACGGTTGATAAGGCACTTCTGTTAATTCACTCTAAGAAACCTTTACATCTCATATATATATATATATATTTATATATAGATATTACCTAAGTAATATTCTTATTACTAATTACAAAAACTATTTAGATTAGTGCAATTTATTTCTTTATAAACAAGTCATCAACAACAACCACGCATCATGCCACAATCATCCCTTTCTCTCTGTTCTTCAGTAAAACATAAAATGTGCAATCATCAGGTTTCGCACCTGTTACCCTGTTCTTTTGACTCCTTTTTTTGCTGGTTTTTCAAGCCTTAGGATTGACTATCTGCTCTCAAAGCTCACACATATAAAGCTTACAAAATCCTACAGCAGATCTCAGTGCCTCTTTCGATTCTACTGTTGTAAAGTGTCGGCCCTCACCATTAGAGGTTCCATAGATAGCCTGTGCTCATGACTCTCAGTCTCATATCTGAGTTTTTGACACCCATCTTTCTAATCTCACTCTTTGGCTCTGAAAGCCCAGCCATTCAGTCTATCTCTCTCTCTCTGTTTTTCCAGCCTCTGAGTCTACACAGACAGGTCATCTTGGCGTGCCCGGCTGCTGGTCCCGCTGGTCTTGCTCAGGCGCCGCTTGTCCTTCGTGCAGCCGGCGTGCAGCAGGGGCAGCGGCGAGCAGCTGCTGGGCAGCTCGGCCGGCGCCTGCTCGTATCTCATCCTCAGGAAGTCTTCCTCGTCCTCCAGGTTGTCGCAGCTGTGGTGCCGCTCGGTCGCCAGGTTGGCTGAGTTCTGCTGCAGCGCCATCCTGGTGTTGAAGGGATGAGAGGCCATAGAGGTCAGCGGGCTCATGGAGTTCTGGGCCGTCAGGCACTGGCTGAAGTCCGGAGGCGGGGTGCAGGAGGCGGACGCTCGTCTCGGATCGCCGGCCTCCAGGCCTGCCGCCGCCGCCGCTGCTCCCTCTGCCTTCTTCCGCTCCATCTTCTTGTTCACACACCTCTTAAAGCTCTTCCAGCCAAGGTGGTAAAGCTCCAGCACGGAGAGCAGCAGAGACACGCCGGCCACCACCAGCATGAAGACGATGAAAACGTTCTTCTCCGTGGGCCGGGACATGTAGCAGTTGACGGGGTTGGGGCAGGGCCAGGCCTTGCAGTGGTACAGAGCCTTGAGGAACACCCCATAGATCAGATACTGCACCACGATGAAAGTCACCTCCATCACCGTCCGGATGAGGATGCTCAGGATGTAGGTCTGCAGCAGGGCTCCCTTCAGCCGCACGCGGCCGGCCCCGTCTGAGGTCCTCTGTTTTCCGCTCTCCTTCTGCTGGAGGTACTCCTTCTCCCCTTTGAGGTCCCCTTCTCCGTCCCCCCTGGCCTCCCTCTCCTCCTGCTCCACCCTCCGTTGCTTCTCGTCCCTGCGCACTATGTGCATGGCGTGGCCCATGTAGATGAGGGACGGCGTGGACACGAAGACGATCTGCAGCACCCAGTAGCGGATGTGGGCGATGGGGAAGGCGCTGTCGTAGCACACGTTGGTGCAGCCGGGCTGCTGCGTGTCGCACAGGAAATCGCTCTGCTCGTCGCCCCAGGAGGACTCCGCCGCCGTCCCCAGCACCAGGATGCGAAAGATGAAGAGGATGGTGAGCCAGACCTTCCCGACCGAGGTGGAGTGTTCCTGGACCTCCTCTAGGAAATTCCCCAGGAGAGTCCAATCCCCCATCACTGCTCAGGGTCCGAGCACACACCTGAGACACAGAGGCTGAGGATGAAGGAGGAATGCTAGAAGTGGAAAAAAGGGGGCATCAGAAGTAAAAAAGGGTGAAGGCAAAGGATGGGGAAAGAGAGAAAAAACAATCAGTCATAAGCTGCTGTACGTTTTCTACATTCCTGCCAAACAGAATGACCAGGGTGTGTGTGGCATCATGTGTGTAAAAATAGCTTCTCTGTGTGTGAATTGCTCTGGGGGACTCGGCACTGTGGCATGAGAACAACCTTTTTCCCATGAGAGAGGGAGACAGAAATAAGGGGACATGAAGTTTAAGTCATGTAAAAGTAAATAATCATATTGTTTTTAGAAAAACGATTCAACGTTATGTTGTGAGTGTTTCATGTTGCATAGGCAGGAAGGCAGAGGATAAAAAAAAGGAAAAAACTCATCGCCAGGGGACTTTGTCCTTCCAGTGCTGTGACCTGGCCCGAGCTGCTTGTAGGACTTCACCAGCAGACTTTAATCCCAACAACAGAGCAGCATCTTTACGGTCCTCTTTGTCATAACCAAAGGCCTCCAACAGATCTCCATCTCTTGGCTTGTGTCAATCAGACCTCAACATCTACGCGCTGTATGTGTGTGTTTTGCGCATTCAAGGCTTGACCCAAGCACGAGCAAGAGACCAGGTCAGGCCCAAACATGGCAGTGACTGCTGGCAAGCCCAGAAGAAATGACCACCCTATAAGGATGTCCGACAGACAGCTTTACGGGTGCCACACATGAGTGCCGTCATTTAAAGGTGATGAAAACCCATTAAGGCGGACCCCCAACTTCTATATGCTGCATGTTTGTGTGGCAACAGCCTTTTTCATTTTCAATTTTTTTTATGATTAAAGACAAATTAGCTGTAAGGAATGAAGGTTGAAACAGGCTTTTTCCAAGACGTCACACATTTGGAGGTATTACCCTACTTGGTGAGGTTATGGAAAATGTAAACATTTCTAAAAGGCTTTAATGGTGTGCTAAGTGGGAAAATGACACACAGTATAATCACTAATGTTGAAAAGAGTGAAAAAATGAAAAGTCTGAGCTTCTTCTTACCATCTCCCACCTCTCTGACAACAATCCAAAAGGGTTTTTTTCCCAGTAACAGCTCAGTCCACTTTGTGGGGCTTCAAAATAACTATCCAATACTGGCTATGTGTTAGAGAAACATGGTCTAAATGACCATGACCAGCTCTCCCTCTGTCTCTCTCCTCCCTAAGCTTCTGTAATAAGTATATATAAGGCAATAAGGTGGAAAACCAGAAGGAAACAGGACACCCTTATGACAACATTTGGGACACGATATGTCCAGCTTTAATCTACTCTTAAGCTGAACCACTAATGCAAAGGATAGGAAATATTGTCTGGTTTGTATAATACATCCCATACCTGGTATAGTTTGGTGAACTGGATCCAAGTCCCACAGGGAACTGGCTCAGAGCCCCGCACGGATAGAGCTGATGATATTTACTGGAAGTAAATCACAAACAGGCTGAAAGCTGGAGGAAGGGAGTGAGAGTCCAGCCGGCACAATGGCAGGAGGTTGCACATTAAAACAGCCTTGCCCTTATCAGCTGAGACTGACAACAGGCTTTCCTCACCTGCACAGACCACGCAAAGCAATTCATGTTCTGTCCTGCAACGGTCTCCAATCGGTTTGAATCAGACTAAAATAAAGCCTACTTTTAGGAGAAACAGAAAACTGTAAAGGATTTCAAATTGAGAAAAGTTGTGAGATACATGTCAAAAAATTGTTCTTTGGTTTGGCGTGCTAGTGTGGTAATACATTTTCAAACAAAAGTTAAGATTTTGTCAAACAATTTGTCGGAGCAACTTCTTCAAACAAATTTTGCACATCTGGAGATGAAAACTGAGGGACCACCACAAAAGCCTAATTTAGAAGAATCTAACTGACATGCAGAAAGGAGCAATTCCTCAGCTCTGTATCTATTATTTCATTGTGCATCAATTACAGGGATCGCAATAGAACGTGGTGGTGATAAATTAAGCTTTTGTTTCTGGGATAAACAGGCGAAGTAGAGATCGGACTGTCTGGTGAAACTCAACGGTCTCTGTCTTCTTCCCTTGGCTAAGTGTTCCTGCTCTCAGAGGAAGCAATTTTAAACAATATGGTTTCCGAAGGACAAAAGGAGCAAATTGTTAAAAGGAGTGAAAGGGTCAGAGGTCACACAGAGTCTCATTAGGGAACCGCTTTGCTTTTTAAAAGTACTGTTTTGTAACCACTACTTGTCCATCATACCTTTGCTTTTGGCAATAACCAGGGATTTACTGTGATACATTGTGCCCTTTGCTGAGCGCTCTGGCTCGCCTGTGGATCATCACAGCTGCCACGTGTGTTTACAGTCTCAGAAGCAGAGCAATGGACAATCTGGTTAAAAGTTATTCAGTCTGGTTAGCTAAAAAGGGGCACCATGCACCCATGACTTATTTCTGCTTGAAGTTGATCAAAATGTCACAGATGAACTCTTTGTGTGTTTGTATGTCCTGCTCACTGTGTGTTTGTAAGATGAGAAAAGCTCCACGGAAACAAAATCTTTGATGGAAAAATGAAAAGACAAACGAGAAAGTTTGCTTGGTGTTGACTCGAGCCAGGAATGACATCATTTCACCACTTAACAGCCGGCTGAAAGTGAACTCACAGCTTGCGGCTGAATTGAAATTTTCCTTCAAAGGAACTGATACTAAGTCCTACTGGACCTCAGCCAGGAAGCTCAGAAAGGTGAAGGCAGAAGGCGCAGCCACCGCACTAAATCACCGCAAAGCGATAGCCCCTTTTGTGCCTCGCTGCAGACACAACAGGAAAAATGCAGCGCGTTGTCTCTGCCACACAACAATGCAACACCACAATAAGTCTTCCAGGCTCCTGGACTCTCCTCAGTGTTGCCTTACAGGGCAGTGGCTCGGATTCAAGAATCTGGGTGGGTATGTGGCATATTAAGGCCAGAGAGAGAACCCTTGATCCTTTTCTAAAATGTTATTATTATTACAATGTCAGCTTCATAATATTGTACGAAGAAAAACCTGATTAACATATTCAACACATGTCTCAGAGTATTACTTTAATTGTCATGACTCAAAACTCATAACTCTACACCTTTCAATATGAAAGAAAAACAAAACCGCATAGTTTTCACACCCGGCGCGTGAGATGAAGAATTTAGGTGACTCTACCTGGTTCCCCCCAACATGCAATGCATTCACAGAGAACGGGGGCAGAAATCTAACAGTCCTGCAGAGGGCTGCACTTTTCAGTACAAAGCCGTCTTTGACAGTCTCTGTCAAACAGCCTCATAAACACGCAGGCACGGAAAGGTATACATTTCTTTAGCTTGCTTCCCGTTTGAGGGGAATGTTTAGACTATCATCAGAGGAGGAAACAGTGCTTACACTGCGTCATTCATTAATTGTGATGTGCATGAAAGGAAATTAGTGAGAGCTGGAATTTCCATCAACATAAACTGAAAACACGGCATACAGGAGTACATTTGCTATTGGTGCTATGTATTATTAGAATATAAAACGTGTGAAAACCTACATGCTTTGAATTTGACAGCTTTATTTCAGATGTTCAAGACCAAAACACTCAAAGGAGTGTGCAAAAGTTCGATTCTATTGGTTAATTTAGTTTAGTGCATTTTGGACCTATGATTGAACTAATAATGATTTCCTTCAACTTTGTATTTATTCATCATTCATCATCATTGTTTGTATCAGAAGCTTTTTTCATGAATAGGAATGAGATTTGGTCAACCTAATAATGCACATCCTCAACTGTATTTTTAAAGGAGTATTGAAAGATGTGTACATCTGAAAATACCAATATGATCAGGGATAAAATCAAAAGAGATCTTTGAACAACATTTGTTGTACAAACTAATGGGATGTTGTTCAAAGTTAAAATAAAAGAAGAAAGGTACTCAAATTTAAATGAGTGAAATGATAAAGTAAAATTAATTAACACTTTTCATCTCTGCTGTCTCTCATAAATCCAGATTGACCTTGCGGATAAACACACACATAAGGAAAAGGTGTTCAACATTTAAGAAGCCGCCTGTGAACCCCCCGCTCTTTTCACAGCTTGTAAAAGTGGGTCACCAATGTTCTTCATAATTGAGTTTCTTCCGTCACATAGATTAAGAATCCGCAAAAAATAAGAAAAAGCAAGCTGGAAAATTTAAGACCAGTACATTTCAGAAAAAGTGACTGAATTGATACTGAACAATTCCAAAGGTATACTACATTTATAGATTTGCTCTGACCAGAATGAAAAGGACTGTTACCTAAAGCAGCCCCTATCGAAACTTTTAATTCTTTCTTTCTTGTTAGTTTGAAATACTGTTTAATTTAGTTTTTTGTGGCGTCCTGATTATGGATTTTTGTTTCTCTCAGTTGTCCTTTTCTGGAAGGGGCATTACACATGTAGGGCAGCAACAGCTCTGCAGTGTGTCTCTCTAACAGACAGCTCCCGGACTATTACATCTGTAAGTTTTATTCATCTCCGTTAAAACAGACTTCACTCCTCTGAGAATGCCAAACATACTCAGACTGTAGTTCTCTGACTCCCTGATGGTTATTTTTACTTTAGGTGATTAATGTGTTTATGAGCGTCCTGCGCTATAAAGGAGATAAAAGCTTAAGGAAACTAGACTTATTTATTTATGTCAGACAAACAGTTTGCGCTTGTCCGTATTCAAGAGTTATGTTGAAAGCACAGCATTTGAAGTGTAACTCCAACACGCGCGGAGCGTCAATTCTGGAGCGGCAGCAGCTGTCTGGATGTTAGAATGGCACACACATCCCTCCCACAGGGATTAGAATTGAGGATGGATACGTTTAAGTTTAGCATTGATGGCTCGGCATGCGGAGATGCTGATTATATGACCCACAGAGTGGATCTCATGTGGGATGAGTGTCACCTGTTGCCGCCCTGCACAGGCCAGCGGGGA